TATTCGAAAATAACATAATTAAGAAAGTTAAATGGTATCAGCGATTTTTCCCAGGATAAAGTGTAATTAGCTCCGTATTTAGTGATTTTAATTTTTAAAATATCAAGAAACAGTTTTTTAGTTTAGGAAATTCTCCATTAAAATGATTTCAGACTCATGATCAAAATAATTTAGTATTCAGCTACAAAAAGGCTTTTTTGATATTTCCCCAAAAACTATTCGAGAATAACATAATTAAGAACGTTAAATGGCATCATCGATTTTTCCCAGGATGAAGTGTAATTATCTCCGTATTTAGTGACTTTAATTTTAAAAATATCAAGAATGAGTTTTTTTAGCTTATGAAATTTTTCATAAAAATGTTTCTAGACTCATGAACAAAATAATTTAGTGTTCAAAAATCCAGATAAGTGAAAAGTAAGTAAATAGTAAGAAATGGAAATACATAAATTCAACGCTTTGAAATCCATTCAAATCGTTAAATCAGATGAGTAATGAGTTAATTTCTTACACTTCTCGCACGAATGACATGTCCCTTCTCCCCCACACTCCTATGAAGACTCGGATCCCTGTAGACCTCAGTTGTCCTCGAATCCTGTCGTTCCACCTCCTCCCTGTGACTCTTCTCCACCGGGTTTGCTTCCCCACTTGTGCACTCACTCGATGCCACCAGGAGATTCGAGGGATTAACAAGCGACTTCCATTTCCGATCGAACGTCGACGTGAGGCTGGTCAGTAAATCGCTCCCTGAAACCACAATGGAGATGTTTAAGCATTCGTGGATTGAATAGTTAATAAGCACCACTGGTAAATTTCACACTCAAAGCTTATTATTGCTCTCTCAAATCTCCACTCAGCTACAGACATTCTAAAAAAAATTTATTCAAATCATAATCGGTCCAGCGGTTGGAGAATTGAATGATATTTTCTGTTGGTAATGAGAATAGAGGGAAAATGTCAGAAGATCTTCTGAATTGAGAAAATAATAAAACAACTTTTTTCAAATCCACGAAATATATTTTAGAGAAAGTCAAATGGAAATTTTAATTCTCTAGAAAAATGAATAAGTGTGGAATTCTTGATCTATTCCTATTATTTTTTAATTAAAAAATATTCAATAAGTTGAATTCAAGAAATTGTGGTTTTTCAAAACAAAAGAAAACCTCATTGACCATTTTTCTGATGAAAAATCTCATTCAAAAGCCCAACAATGGAATAAAAAATAGGCCAGTGTTAAACGAGCCATTGAGTCGTCATTCTCGTGTAAAACGCATTCCTGCAACGTTAGAGAACGATTTCAATGGAATAAACAAACCAAAAAAAATGACATCGATAAAAAAATTAAAATAGACAACATCGATGTAAACAGAGGCAGCTCGAATCCACTGACATTGTAAAACAAAGAGAAAAAAAAATGAAGCTTGAAAGCACTTGAGCGTCAACTTGTATTGGCTCAATAGCCCAGTTAAACGGAAATCGCATTGAGTATTCAATGTATACGTGATTTCAGTGTTTGTGTTAGCTTCGCAAACGGTCTATTGTGTTGTCTATTGAATCCACTCTCGTTTTATCTTCTTTAGTCTTTAGTGAAATAATAGTCGTGCGGCATGACAATTCAAAAGGGGAGGGTGAGAAATCGAATTCTTGAGCATTACACAAATAGGATGGAAAAAAAAAATTGAGGACAACGAGCTCGGAATATCCCATCCGGATATAAATTTCAGGTTTTGCCGGAATGTTCATTTAACAAGCGAATGGGAGAAGCGAAAAGGAGAGTTTGAGGAATTTATAACACCAGGAATCACATTTCTGCTGGGATTATTTCAAAAATATCCCCGAGATTAATGAGTTTGAAGAAAAATGTCAGAAGATCTTTATTGTGGAGAATTGAATTCTCTGCAAAAAATGTCCTCTGGCGATTTTCGATGAAACTTTTTCCTGGGGAGATATTAGCGAAGTAATTGAATTCAATTTTTTGGCGGAGGGAGGTGAGCTCGAAAATTTCACTCACGTCATTGTGCAAATATCTGGAAAACCGTTGGGTTGAAAAAATCAAGAGACCTTTTCTTGTGGGTCATTTCATTTTTTATAAAACTGTTTCTTAAAAAAAACTACGGTTTCTTTATTTGTTTAAAAATCACCTCAGTAATTACAAAATTATCCGAATTTTGTTGAAAATTAAAAAAAACGTCTAGTAAAATTGAATAGAAATTTCTCTTCATGAAATAAAAATCTCCAGACCTTGTTCCCTCTCTCAAATATTTGCCAAAAAATCTAAAAATTCTCAAACTCATCCCCTCCCTCAATTAGTGAATGTTTGATGCGAGGAAAAAAATTAACGAAGCGAAAGAAAAAAAAGACTTTAAACTCATTAAAAAAATCGAAGCCATTCTCCAGAGCTCTGACGTCATCTCGTTACGATCGGACACCGAACGAACACTTTGAAAGAATACATCTCCCTTCAGATTCAGTCGAGTAAAATGTCAACAAACGAAAGGAAAAAAAAAAAGAAAACAACGATTTTAACTGTCGGTTTCCGGAGGTCCGATTTACCTCTGAGGAATTTGTTTAAAGTCTTGGAGGTGGGCGTCCCGGCCCCGACCCCGGACACCCCTTGCCCTTGGTACTGTGGTTTTGATGATGAGGATGATGCTGCTGAAGAAGAGGTAGGGTCGGTGACGGTACAGGGTGGTTGGGGTGAATGTGGGGCCGGTGTCTTCGTGGAGGCGCAACTGGCGCCTGCAGTACCGTGTAGATGGGACGATATGTAGCACCAAAAACTCGGTGTTGCTGTGTGCCTACGCGTTCCAATTTATATCGAATCGTCAATTCTAATTAATCTCAGTTTTCATGTTTTTAGTCAGATAAACAAGAGTTTGAAGGAAAAATTAATCGATAAAAAATTAAGCGGCAGCCTTCAATCATCTTCTGATTTTATCATCAAATTAACGGTTTCCATAGCATTTATTTTAACCAACAAAGACTTGATTCGTTAGAAATGAAATTGTTGTTTAGAATTGAGTATATTAATGTGTAATAAATAATTTATTTGGAATGAATGAAATCTTCATTTCATATAATGGGAAATTATATTGTTTTGTTTTATTTAAATGTGTTATTTCTGTGCACTGTTGGAAAGAAATTGAAATTTCGTGGACAAATCACTGGTATTTTTTAATATGAGAATTCAATTCAGGGGGAGAAAATCATGAAATCATGAGGTTTCGGTGAAAATTCAATGAAATTCCAAATTTTTCAGCTGCAGGAAGACGAAATATCCTCAATTTCCTTAATTTTTCCAAAATACCCTGAATTTTCCATATTTCTAATGATTTTCATGGAATAATGTCCATCGACTTTCTCCCGAAATTTTGAATTGTCAATGATAAACTCCTTGAAATTTCCAACTAGTGTACAGGAAACTTCAGCCAAACTTTTCAACAGTGTAAGTGTACACCTACACAATTATGAATTCATTTCGTTAACGAGTAGTTTAAAAGAAAAATATCTTCAGACATTTATATAAAATTCCTCATTAACGAAATAATTGCACAATAAATAAAATTTTCACTCTCCAAACTCCTTAATTTTTTTCATCATTAATTGAATTAATAAATATTAATAATTATATTTTTCTTTGACTCATGTTCATTTCCGTTAATTTGTGAAATTCACAGAGCAGCAGGCATCAATGCAGGCAGTGAATGCAGGCAGCCAATGCAAGACAATGATATTTTATATTTCACAGACGATGAATATTCAAATCTCCCACCCAATAAAACTCATGAATGAAGTTATTATCGTAACAAACGTGCCCACACGTTAATCCGTCGTATTCCGATGAGAACGTGGGAATCAAACGACGAACTGTGCAAATACAAACGTGTGGATCAAGCCAACTGGAAATTCTAAGCTCATTCTAAACCTATGTATTTACTCCCCTGATTTTACTTCGATAACACTGAGATCTTGGTTGATTGCAAAATTCTGTCTAAAATCTAACTCAATATTTTCTCATCTTAATATTATTCTAACGTGCTGGAAGGCATAATGATTTATTCGAGGATGATTAATGACTAGAGGAAGAGACGCTCGAACTAATTTTAGATGATACTTCATTATTCATGAGTGAAGCGTCTTTTCACGTTTACGTTCATTATGAAAAATGATATTCATGATTAAAATTTGTTAACCATGCTTTGAATCTGTGACGTTCACTGAGTGATAAATTATTGAGATTAATTATTCTGATGTATTTTTATGAAAAATTATGCTTGCAGTGAAGAAGTTGCGGAGAAGGAGATGATTAAAATACTTTACTATTTTGCAAACATTTCAGATACATCAACAGAGTAATAATAAAAATAAAATTCTTGATCTTTTCTTTTTTTTTAGATTGATTGAGGATATTTTTACAGAAATCTTCGAAATGAAGAGCTTTAACGAAAAATGTCATAGAACATTTTTTGTGGAGAATTTCATAGTTCACAAAAAAGATCGAATGACTTTTTCCAATAAACCTGATAGTTTTGGAGATATTCGTAGAATGCGTAATGCAGATTGAACGAATCTCCTCCTCCCACTTCAACAACTCAATAAATTATTAAAATAAATTAATGATTAATGTAATAGGGGATACCTAGCAAGCTTTCTGTTAATAGTCAGAATCTTCTGTGTCCAGTGAAGGAAACAAGATCCAGCTAGACTCACCGACCGTCAGAAGCGAATATCAAAGAGAACAAAAAAAAAGGAGAAAACACACAGAATAAATTTGACATTTGAAGAGATTAGATTAGACCACTGGATTATGTTGAATAAAAAATGGGGCAGAGTAATTCGTAAATTAAAAAAAATAGAAGGGGCATAGACGATAGACACTGACATGAGTTCATGCTGTTGGAGCTCGAACTCTATTTCGAGAACTCTTGATTCATGGATTTTAATCGAAATAATCGAGGTTTTTTCGAGTCTCGATAGTTTGAAGCAACACATGAAGACTGAGTGTGTGATAAGAAATTTAGCACTCACCGTCATCGGATATGTCGCCGGGTATACCCCGAGTGTGGTGCGATGGTGATGGTGATGTGTGGGACATGTGAACCTCGTGGAGTGAGTCTAAACTGCCATATCTCGTTGGCACCAGGGATTCCATCGATGGCTGAAGCATAAAAACAAATGAAAAAACATTATTCACCTCTCAAACTTTCCAAACGTGAGATGAACTACATCTTTCAGATAAAATTACCCCAACGAACGTCATGACGTCAGGAGATAAAATTAATTGAATGTCAGGAATGAAATCTGAATAAAATTCAATCCTTCAATTACTCTCATATCACTTCCCTATCAGTTTAATTCATTCACAACTCGTATTAATTTTTTTTCCCAATGAAATTTCAAATTCTGTATAAAAATCCATGTGCAATAAAAATAATATAACGACTGAAAAAAATCTATTCGAACAGAATGAAACCTTTTGATTTCTCTAAAGTGCTTATTGGTGCAAAAAGTTAATTCACAATTAATTAGTAATTTATCTATAATTATTTCTCTTGATAAATGTAAAAATGTCTCATATTGAGGGAAAAATTAAAGAAAATGCGGATTCAAATGGCAATGAAATAGGGTATTTCTCACCTCTTTATCAGTTTTAAATTTTTTAATAACTCCATTATTAATCTTCTCCCCAATAATACTGCTCAATTGGCTGCTAGCCTGAGCCTTCTGATTGGCGCAGGGCTGTTGCTGTACAGCAATGGACATGGGTGTTAATCTAGTACTAGATTTTGACCTGGACCTGTCACTGTTATCACCACTCCTCTCTGCCAGTCTGTCACTCAAATTAGCAAGTCGATCAGTGAGATAAGGTGAAGATACCGTTGACTCGACCATTCCATCAAGTATATCATCATTCTCCATCTCTCGTTTAGCCAATTGCCACTCCATCTCAATTCTCCTCCTGTCCCCCTCCCTCTTCTCAGCCTCCTTTCGATGTCTGTACTGATCCCGTTGGAGCATTGCCTTAGTCTCCTGCTCGAATCTCCTTATTCTCTCCTGAGTTGTTGCACTGAGTCCTGCATAAGTCCTGATTACCTCGTCGTTTCCACTCTGTTTCGTGTCGTTCGAGGCTGTTGATATCGTTGATACAGTGTCCAGGCTGCCTGAGGTCATCTCGGGGAGCCTGGGCGAGTCCAGGCTAGATGATGTTGTCGAAAATTGCTGCTGGGAACGGTTGGATATCGTTCCATTCAGGGGACTCGAGTTCGCACTGTTCGAGAGATTATTTCGCTCCTGTCGCTCTGGGGTGTGGTTGGACTGACTCTTTGTCTCGTGCATCATCACTATTTCACTTACACTGCACTGACGCTCGTTCAGGGCCATACTCTGACGCACCAGGGGCTCCGGCTCAGCCTTCGTCTTTGTCTGGAACGAAATTTTTATTTTTTCAAGGGTTAAGTGGGAATTATCTGGGAAAGGAGAGAGTTTTGAGGGATTTTTCAAAAGAGATTTTTTGTGGAGAAGTAAATTTCCTACAAAAAATGTTGTTTCATATTTTTTGATAAACCTCTTTGCTGGAGAGATATTTGCGAAATGATGCGAAAAATAATTTTGACAGAAAGAGAAAAATTCAGTAATTTTTTTACATTATTTCATAAATGGATCTGAAACTAATAAGTTTAAGATAAAATGTCAAAAGATGTTTTATGAAGTTCATGAAATTCCCTAGAAAATTTTTCCTCGAAATTCAATAGTTCTCGAAAGAATGAAAAAAAATAAAGATGCCAGCTTTGTAATTTTACGAAGCTAATGAATTCGGGGAAAATAAATTAGATGTAATTATCACTGACCTTCTCCTCCTCATGTTCTTCACTCTCCTGCTCTTCGTGTCCCTTCCTTCGCCTCTGAATTTTCCTGTTAGCTGCGGATATTATTGAAGATACAATATCCTTAGCCGAGACCATTTCACGCATGCCTGTTAAGGGTGGAATAAAATAAATCATAAAAACTAAAAGCGGACTAAATCAAGATGAACGTGAGGTGTTGAGGGTGGATGACTGACGATGCAGACTACTTTAAATAATAAAAAACTTGGGGGAAATAACTGGGGGGATTTCTACGTCTAATTTGTGAATTTCTGTGAGGCAAACTACCTTCAACTTTTTGAATATTGTTCAACAGTAAACTGTGATTGTTGGATGTTTCTACTTCACTACCGTCCGCTGGGAGACTCAGGTTAACGCTTAATCTGCTCAAGTCGTCTAAGTCTTCTTCGCAGAAGAACCAATCGACCTGTAGATCAAATAAAATTACATTCATTCAGATATTGAAGTTTAAAAAACATTAAAATTCGTATTTTTTCCTATATCTCTGAAATAATCATATATAGAGAAAAATTCCATAAAACCTTTTGTGAATTTCGTGAAATTCTCTACAAAAAATGTTCTTCAACATTGTCTTGTAAACCTTTTCCTTTTGGAGATATTTTCAAAAATAATCTGACAGTTTATGCTGGGCCCTGCGAAATTTCATCCAGACTTTTCGAAAATATTTCTGAAAAAAATAAGTAGATGTAGAGAGAAATATCAAGGGATGTCTTGACATTTCGCTTTAAATCCACTTATTTCCGAGATATTCTTAGAATAGTTAAATTAAATTGAATTAAATTAATAAACTCACATTGTTTAATAAGCTCTCAACAATCCTACACTGATGCGACATATCAGTAACCATAGTAACCATATTATCCCTGGAGCCACTGGCCCTGACAAGAGTTGGCCCAAAAACAATAGCCAAATTTTTCGCCTCCATCTTGTTGATCTCGCTGTGCTCAACAACTCGTTTCAAGTGGAACATGAGATACTTGAGTGTTTCAAAGTGATGCTCCGGTAAATCCCTGAGGAGTTTTCGTATCGTTGCCATTCGCCTCTGTGGATCCTCTATTTTGTCGGCGTCGATGAACATGGGATATAGGTCAGCAGTGAGAAGCGAATCCGGTAGTTGACGGAAGAATGATTTCAGGAGGGAAGAAATTACATTTACATCACTCCATCTAGGATCCTGCGTAAAAAAATCAAAATACAGTCATTTGAAATCATTAAATAAAAATTCTCTCGCTAAATGTTTACTTAACAATGCTTCATGCAGAATTGTTTCAGCTAAAAATGAAATTTATCTACAGAAATTTTGCGTCTCCCTCAGTTCGAGAGATTATTTTAAAAAAATTTAAATTGGAATGAAATTTTTCCATAGAAAAAATTCAAGAATAAATTTAGAATAAGAAATTGTTGAATCACCTGCAAATTTATGCTCTCAAAACCCTTGTTAACACTCTCCGTGAGTTGTGAAATGGCAGCAGTATTTCCTGGCACTCTGTAGATACCAGTGACCTCCAATCCCCTCGCCTCAACAATGCTCGTGCACATCTCGACAATCAGTGGAACAAACTCGGAGAACGAAGACTGGATGGAGAGAAAAAAATGTGAGACGAATAAGAGCGTTTATTACCCATGAAAAACTCATTCCAAACATTTTTCTCATCCTCCTTAAACTTTAAGAGACTTACGACTGGGCAAAGTTCCAATGGTACTTTGAAAGTGGCCCCCTCGGGTGGCAGTTGGGCTGTGGGTGATGATGGCGAGCCAGCCTGGCCATGCATTCGTCTTAGCTGCTTGGCAACTCTACCCTTCCATGTTTTCGATTTCGGTGAGGGCAGAGGATCCACTGTTTGACTCGGTTTTCTCGTTTTATTCACTGGTGACTGACCAGTTGGCGATCGATTTCGGAAGGATGTGAGCTTTCTTATTCCTTTGTGACTTGGGAGGGGACTTAGTCTTTGGGTGCCCTGTCCAGCACTTGGGGTCGTTGGGCCTGGGGTCTGAGGCACTGCTTGTTGCTTGGATGTACTTGTACTTGCATCCTGGAATTTTTTTGCAATTGATGAATGAGAAATTGATGATGGGGTGTCGATGAATATTTCCCTCAACTCTGGACTCGAATTCGATTTTTATGAAAAAATGGGATGCTCTGGGTAATCAGTGATTTTAGAAATGTCGAGGGAGCATTTTTACTGTTTTTATTATTGTTTAGAGTGCTCAATTCTACATTTGAATTATTTACACTGCCGTTTGCTAAAAACAATATTTGTCATTTGATCTGGCTCATTTGGATTAACAGTTTCTAATATTACATTACTGCATTACATTTTTATTTTTTTCCCTTTTCGTAAGTTTTAAACTTCAACAGCACATTCTTTTAAGCATTTTTACTTTATAAAAAAATATATTTCTTCTGGGAACCCTTTAAAATTCAAATCTCATTTTTTATCTCATTAATTTTTTTTTTCATCCAAAAATGAGAAACTGAAATGATTTTTATGAATATTTCCCATAACTTTAGAGCCTAATTTAATTATTATTTTATAAAACAGACTGTTTTTGCAAATTATCAATTTTAAAAATGTCAAAAAAGCATTTTCACTCTCCCAAGAAAATATTTCTGGACATTTCTTCCTCCTATTCCCGAAACTCTGAAAACCCTATCACTAAAGCCTCACAATTAAATAAATTTTATAGTCCTCAGCATAAAGAAAATTCACGGTCAACAACCTTGGCTCATCGACCGAAAGGAAAAGAATTTCACTCCAAATATGAAAGCGGACATTGTCTTTCGAAAGTAGTAAAAATATGACGTGTGTATTATCTTGAATCCCAATCACTCATCACCATAAACGATTACCACATTTTTTCATCAGCTTCTTTGCTCACTGTTAACTATTAAAAATATAATGATAATAATTTATTGTTATTTACCGAGGGTTTTTCAGCTGCGGCGTGTTTGTGCAGAGCCCGCAACCACAGTGCCATGGACGCGGCATCCTCAGTCTGCAGTAGAACTTCCGCCGTGGGATTAGCAACGCGCAATACATGTTTCCGTTTCGTGTAATCGTCAGCTACATCGACCAATGAACATCTGACGTCAACATTCTGTCCAGCATCACCGTCACTCGTCGCTGATGGACTCTGTAATCCCATTAATTAATTGCAATTCACGAGTGAATAAATTAAATCGAATTTAATTAAATTCAATTTCACAGAAAGAAATGGATTGAGAAATCAACAATTAAAGATATTTTATGTGAGTTGGTGTAAAGGATTTTTTAGTAAATTCGAGCGTCTTGGAATTATAAATTTGGAATATTTTCCTTAATTAACTAGCATGAGTAATTGGAGGAGTTGATGAATATTCATGATTAACAAAAAAAAATCAATTTCGAGAAAAAAGGTGAAGGAATATGGATGGAATAGATTGATCCATGCTTTCTTATGGAAATGATGAGAATCGATCGAGAAAAATAGCCTATTCTCTAGATCATTGATCACTCAAGTGATTTCACATAATTTTTGTTGATAATTTTACAATATTTTTTCTATACCCTCAATTTACAAACCCTCGTATACTTGAATATACGACTGAATTGCATTCGAAAAGTCGGAAATATCTTGGACTTTTCATTTCCAAACATGAATTCTTTGGGATTAATTAACAACGTAATTGATTAAAAAATCTTTGCAAGAGTTTTTGTACTTTTGAAGCATTGAACTTCATTGTTCTTGTGATTTGACATAAATTTAATTGACGAATTTACAACATTTTTCCTATTCTATTTTGGTCGTCGAGATAATTTACGAACACGTTTATACGTAAATCAAACGTCAGAAAAATCCTAGATTTTTTAATGTCAAACACGATTTCTGCAGGATTAACTAACAACAGAATTGATTGAGAGATCCTTGTAAGAAATTTTGTCGTTTTTAAAGCATTAAACTTCCTCATTTACGTCATTTTACATATTTTTAATAGATAAATTCCATAATTTTTCTCACTTCACCCCCGCTAAAACTCTCTAAATTAAATCAACAAAGAATTTTTTTATTTCTATCAAACAGTTGATCGAAAAAATGCTGATCAATCGATAAAAAAAATTAACGAAAAACCGCAGATACTAAATTCCACCATTCAAATAACTTCACATATAAATTCCACCGTAATTTCGGAATAAATCCGTGAAATAGTCCTTATCTCCCTAATTCCCAAGCTCAAAGGACCTCCAGCATTAATTAATCATTACCCAGGACCCGGTGGAGCCCCAGCGGCGTAATCTCCTTCCGAAAAGTCCATGAGTACTGAAATGCAGTGGAATACAGGAGTAAGAGCTACTATCTGCGCCCAGCATGCCCTCGGAATTCACTTCACTGTATCTCTCCATCAAAAACAATTCTTTACGTCTCTTTTATCTCACGTTGTCCCCTAATTTTCCTCAATTCTGCTATTTTATTTGTTCATCCTCTTCGTCACATATTTGTTACTGAACGCACTAGCATTCCACGGTGCTTAACATTCGACTGCACTCACTGCCTCTAACTCGCGCTCACCGAGTATAACCCAACCAATTCCCCACCCCAGTGGCACTAAAACACGCAAAATGATAGAGGAAAGAAAATAAAACATTGAGGAGGAGAAAAAACATTGATGGGACCTTTCACCCAGACGCATAATCCTCAAATTTATTATCGTACATTTTTAATGACCCCGCGGAACATCTCGAGCTTTATTCTATAAATCACCCTTATGTTTGAACTCCCTGGATTCGATTTTACGATAAGTTCAGTCGTAATATCTGTTTACCCCTTTCGTTTGAATTTTTTCTACGCCGATGCAGAATTGTTTTATGATAGGAACATTCCGGGTGGTATCAAGGAAAATATGATGAGGGACTACTTTCCGACTGATGAAATTTCCGGTAAAAATGCCCTGACATTATCTCATATCGTTGAAAATGCAGAAACCAAATTGTTAAATTCACTTCAATATTTTTATGATTTTAGGAGTTTAATTCACAATTTATTTAGACATGTTGAAGCATAAATTCTTCTCGTAAAACATTTTGATAAAACTTTTCTTGTAACTAATGAAATTAAAACATCAAGCGTTGATTTTACGATTAGTTTTAGTATTCATGTTTTTTTCTTTTTTTGCAACTGATGAAATTTCCCACAAAAAACAGTTTGACATTATCTCATACCGTTAAAAATTCAGAAAACCAAATTGTTAAATTCACTTGAACATTTTTATGATTTCACGAGTTCAATTCGCAATTTATTTAAATATGTTCAAGCGTAAAATCTCTTTATAAAACATCCTCGCTTCGATTTTACAATTAATTCGAGTATTCCTATATTTTTTTACGTTCATAATTATCTTATGATAGTGCCATTCCGTGTGGATTCAAGGATGAATTTTCCCACAAAAAATGTTTTGATATTATCTCATATCGAAAATGCAAAAAACCGAATTATTGAATGCACTCCAACATTTTTATGATTTTACCAGTTCAATCTACAATTTCTTCATTGCCAATTCCTTCGAGGATAAAATATCCTTGGCAAGTGTTCACCGAACGCGCCATCGAGTCTCACAAAACACAAGACCAATCTCCTGGCTCTAGGTTGCGGTCTATGATAAGGCAACCGCTGTTTCCTGTAGATATTGATATTGAAAAAAATGCCGCTGCATTTCTCGGTAGAAATATCGTTTTCGCTCATTTCTCCACCCCAAGATGCTCTTCCGATACAACACGATCGGGAAAGTTCTCCGTCCATGAAAGGACAGTGTGAAGTGGCTTTTGTATGAAATATCCATCCACGAATGAAGGAGATAACGGCCTTTTGAGGAATGCCCAACAGTGAAACTTTTTCCGTCCACCCAACACGTCATGGCTCATTCTGCTCTTTTCACTTTCTCATTTTATTCTCGAAATTGGATTTTTCCGGATAAGAACACACAGGTGAGATCAGTTTGAATGAAATTATTTCACTTTTAATTGGAGGTGGTCTACTTTGAGATCAGTTCTTCGATAATATCTCGAGAGCGGAAGGAGATAGCGAAATTTTTATAAAGACTTGTTTATTGAACATTTCCTCAGCTACCAAAAAGATTTTATCATGTTTTCTTCTAGAACCACGTATTCTCGAGATATTCACCGAAAACATAAAGTCAATTTTTGCAAAATCAATTTTTTTTCGTTCATTATCATTGCAATTATCTCGAGAATTGTTGATTTTAGGAGAAAATATCATATGACACTTTTTGTTGAAAATTTCATTAACTATAAAGCAAATCTTATGACATTTTCTCCTACAACCACTCATTCTCGAGATATCCACAAAAAACTGACGTCCATTTTCGTAAAAACGAGCTTTTTCGCTTTTTCTTTGGAAATATTATGATATCTCCACTGAAATTCATTTTTCTCACGTGAAATTGCACTCAAAAATCAATGATTGCACCCAGCACATACTGTAATGAAATGCGAAGTGTTCAGGGTCACGTTTGTACGACAGTATTCGTATCAGGGAGGCAGTGAACGCCTTATTCAAACAACGGTTTAATTAATTCCGAGGGACGTATGTACACGTATCGAGCGCGTCCTCGATGGCCATATGAATTAACAGCCGATTTCCGATAGTCGTTCATCGTATTAATACTCGTGGGGCACATCTTATCTGGTTTATGTGTCGCCTTCTCGCAATACAAACCACTGTGAGGTTCAATCCTCGTGCTCAGGAGTCGTCATACTTCGGTGAATCTATGTTGACTTCATCCGTTTTCTCCATAGTCATTCGCGAAACAGAGAAACTTTGTGGAGGAATGAATCAACGGGACTTTTACTTTTTCGTTTTAAATTGTTTTTTAGTTATGTTGTTGTGTCCACTAATGGAAGAATAATTGAACGTAATTGGGATGTAGGACACCTGCGGTAATTATGGAATTATCACAAAATGTTTGGGAAAAATTGGAAAATAGAAAGGCCACTGATTGTGGAGATGATTCCATTCAATTATCAGGTTTTTAATTGACGCTGCGAATCATTGCGGATCAATTGAGTAATTGTTATTATGAATGAAATCCTGTCCCAACTGTCATATCCTTTCGGATATGACAGTTGGGACTTTTACTTTTTCGTCTTTCATTGTTCTTAGCTCTGTTGTTGTGTCAAGTAATTATGAAACAATTCAATGTAATCAAAGAATGAATAGGACATGTTCAATGACTGTCCAGAAAAAATATTAAAATGTCAATTCATTATTAAGACGATTTCATATTTGAAAACACCTGGAAAATTGACTCTCCCCTGTTTAATTATTTATAATTTGTGGATTAATGAATTGGTGTACGTAATTATCAGGTTTTTAATTGTTCGGTAGGAGAAAATTCGTGAAGTGATTGATCAATGGGACTTTTACTGTTTCGTTTTTAATTGTTTCCAGTTCCGTTGTTGTGTCAAGTAATTGCGAAGAAATTTAATGTAATCAAAAGTGCACAGGACATTTTCAGGGAATGTCTAGAAAAAATATTGAGAAGGGCTCATTCATTATTGAAATGATTTCATATTTAACATATGGAAAATGGAATTTTTCCGTCGCATTTTACCTCTCCCCTGTTTAATTATTTATAATTTGTGAATTAATGGATTGGTGTACGTAATTATCAGGTTTTTAATTGTTCGGTAGGAGAAAATTCGTGAAGTGATTGATCAATGGGACTTTTACTGTTTCGTTTTTAATTGTTTCCAGTTCCGTTGTTGTGTCAAGTAATTGCGAAGAAATTTAATGTAATCAAAAGTGCACAGGACATTTTCAGGGAATGTCTAGAAAAAATATTGAGAAGGGCTCGTTCATTATTGAAATGATTTCATATTTAACAACACATGGAAAATGGAATTTTTCCGTCGCATTTTACCTCTCCCCTGTTTAATTATTTATAATTTGTGAATTAATGAATTGGTGTACGTAATTATCAGGTTTTTAATTGTTCGGTAGGAGAAAATTCGTGAAGTGATTGATCAATGGGACTTTTACTGTTTCGTTTTTAATTGTTTCCAGTTCCGTTGTTGTGTCAAGTAATTGCGAAGAAATTTAATGTAATCAAAAGTGCACAGGACATTTTCAGGGAATGTCTAGAAAAAATATTGAGAAGGGCTCGTTCATTATTGAAATGATTTCATATTTAACAACACATGGAAAATTGACTTTTCCCTTCGCATTCTACCTCTCCCCTGTTCAATTATTTATAATTTGTGGATTAATGAATTGGTGTACGTAATTATCAGGTTTTTAATTGTTCGGTAGGAGAAAATTCGTGAAGTGATTGATCAATGGAACTTTTACTGTTTCGTTTTTAATTGTTTCCAGTTCCGTTGTTGTGTCGAGTAATTATGAAGAAATTTAATGTAATCAAAACGTATATAGGACATTTTCAGTGAATGTCTAGAAAAAATATTGAGAAGAGTTCATTCATTATTGAAATGATTTCATATTTAACGACACATGGAAAATGGAATTTTTCCGTCGCATTTACCTCTCCCCTGTTCAATTATTTGTAATTTGTAAATTGAGGGATTGTACCTATCAGATTTTTAATTGTTCAAATATCGCAGTGGATCACTGCAGATCAATTTCGATAGTGTTATTACGAAAGAAAGGATCTTCAGGTAGAAGTAGTGACGGTCACGACTCGAAGGTTTTAGAAAGCGTGAAATGATAAAAATATATGATTGTTGCAGTGGATGCTTTTGGGTGAGTGGGGGTAATTACGTGTGGAGGACTCACCTGGCTGTGACGGTCCTTGTAGAAGTGCAAAACTGGACCCCGCAGGACACCCCACACTTGCTTCCAGGATCTGTCGGTCGATCTCTGCAGCACAAAAACAATTTTCCAAATTCGATCAAATTGGCTCTTTGAAATTTACGGGAAGAGCCTGTTCACGAAGAATTTCTTCACTTATTAAAAATGTCTTTTTACGTTCTGCTAGACGAACATCAACTTCCAAAATGATTCAAGAATTAGTGAGTACATTTTTCTCGTGGAAAATTCAAGAATATATTCACTTGAATTTTTCTGATTTCTATTATTTTTTTGGCGAATAATTGAATTGAAATTTTCAATTATGAAATTTTTTAAAATCTCTGCGGGACTGTGCATCTTGTTAATTTGTTAATTATCTAAGAAACAAGACTTTGACATACATGCAAAAACCTTTTTTCTAAACAATTAAATTTCCTAAAAAAATTATTTTCGACTTTTCTCGTATAACGACTCATTTCTGAGAAAAATCAACAATTTGTAACTGACAAAATGCATCTCATAAAAAATTTATTCCATTTGCTCATTATATAAATTAGATCAAATTAATGTCGGAGGAAAATTATCATTTTCAAATTAATGTTTTCCCACGAATAAAAAATATTGAATTAATTCTCATGTGTTACCTTGCCATCCAGAACTGTGAATTTAACGTGAAGGGACCCCTCACGCTCAACTGGCTCCACGTCCTTCGGTGTGGTGTTCCCACCGTTTGAATTCTGAATGCTGTTGCTGAAAATCACGAAAATGTCTCATCAATAATTAATTAAAATAAAGTAGACGACATTGACATCGACGAGACCATTATTAACAATTCAGTCGATTAATTGGATTAATTAAACGAAACATTTTCTGCTCCTGCTGAGACATTTGGCAAGGTCTCGTTCCTCGGAGTTTGCTCGTCATCCTGTTAAAGTGGTTATAGATAATGTTTAATTTTCGGTATCGTTAGACATTGGATCATACCCATGTAACACATACACGACCTCGAGAATATGTTTTTTCGTCTCATCGTGTACATTTTTTTGCTCTCATTGCCATACAAGTGTAGTTAGTTTGCGGGGGATTTGAAAACGTGATGGAATTTGTGATTTGTAGCTGCGCATATCTACAGCACAGGAATGTTCTCTTAATGTTTATGGTAATCACACTTATTTACAACAATTAGGTTATTACTACGTGATTGTCGAACGCCTTGGAGTGATTCAGAGAGGAGATTGATCCAGTTTAAAATAAAAGGTTTGTTTGCTATGGAGATATTATGGAAAATAGGAGAAAATGGTATAAGGATTTTTTGTAGAGAAAATTTCCAGCGAAAAATGTCTTAGAAGATATTCAAGATGAATTGACATCACCTTTTAGTGAATATTTTTACGAAAAGTAGTAAAGAGACCTTTTTTGTTGTGAAAAAAATTCGAGAAAATTTCCTGACGCGTCCTAAAATCGATAATTAGTGAGAGATCTAATTTAAAAAATTAAGGAACAAAATGGAGAAATTTAATTTTATGAAAATTGACAGCAGTTTTAAAATTTTCCACTGAAAGCGTCTTCAACATTTCCCCCTGAACAGAATAATTGCGTTCTTCATAGATTTTTAAATTTCTGAATATGAGAAATGGATGAAAAATATTGGACACGAATTTTTCTATTTTGATGAATAACGAAAACTCGATAAATTATAGAAAATAAAATGGCTATCCAATATTTCTTATTCAATTTTTGTATTCCATGATTCTATTCACTAAAAAAATTCACGCAAGAATTCAATTATCATGTAAAAAAATCCATAATAAATAAAAGAGATGTCACCCCGAACTATTTAACTATTACCTCAAACACCATAATTCTCACAAGAACATAAAAAGACCAGCGTTCATCGACCCAGCGAAAGTTTAACACTTGTGGGACTTTAACGACTCGTAACGCACACCAAAACACGGAAAACGCAAACTCATCCGATTGGTAATCGGAATTACGTTAAGAGTACTAATGTTCCCTTCTCCAAAACCATGAAAAAAAAAAAGAAATTCTCCAAGACGTCGACTAGTCCCCCCCCAATTATCACGAAATATTATTCACAGATAAGGACGATAAACCTCTGAACAAATACGATGTGAAATTATTCCATTATTACTCGTGTGTACACGATTATGTGTTTCTGTTTTGCTTGAGCGAATTACAAACAACGAAATGAAAAATGCAACAACAAAAAAAAAGTATCGCCAGGTAATCCAGACAGCATTTGTGTCTTGTGTTGTTTGTAGGTGGGAGGGTGCCTCACCGATGATTATGACGGTGCAACGAAGCCGAAGTTACGTCCTCGAAGATACGAAGCAGTGGCGTTATGTCACTGGGAAATAGTGGCGGTCTCCATCGTTTGTGCGCACTAGAATCATCATGTACCATTGTTTTATATCCTAATTATATTTTCTGTGTTATTTCCCTTGATTTAATGCATTAATGGTTGACCTTAAATATTTTGTGCGACACTGTTGAGTTTGGAATCGACTTTTTTCGCGATGGTGGGGTGATTTTGGAGTTAAAATACTCTTCCGAAGGTAACTAAATAGATCAAGGATCAAAATTCGCGTAAACATTAAGAAAATGCATGTGTTGTTACAGAGAAAAGATGAATTAGGCAAATTTGTACCATGTTTTTTGCAAATATCTCTCCAGCTACTGATTTTAGAGAAAAATGTCAGAAAAACTTTTTGTAGAAAATTGAATTTTCCACATTAAAGATTTTTTGACATTTTTCTTCAAATCCCGAAGTTTCCGAGATATTTGAGAGTTGCTAATCACTTGGGTCCTATGCATACAAATACAAATCGTCGCGAGTTTCTGGAGTGGAATAAATTTCTAGGGTAATCTTTTAGCCTGAAATGTTCCGTGGCACATAATTAAATACATAAAGCATCCAAATTCGAGTGAACATGGAGAAAATCCAAATGTTTTTACAAAAAAAAAACGATGAATTAAACGAATTCACAAAAATTGCTACAGAAATATTTCTAAAACGTTTAGAACTAAAGAAAATGTTAAGAAACATTTTTTCGATTCGTCCCTGAAACTACTCAATCCCGAGATAATGAAACAATCAGCATTAAACAAATATTTTAATGACACCAAATGAATTAACACCCATAAAGTATTGCAAATATCTCCCGCACGATTGTTTTCCGAGAAAAATGTCACGAGAACTTTTTGTAGAAAATTAAATTCTCCACAAAAAAATCCTCTGACGTTTTCCTCTAAATCCCGCAGTTCCCGAGATATTCGCAATTTTATAAGTCACCAGAATCCCCGCATGCATGCGAATAAAAAAAATCGACCGTTCCTTCGGTAAAAAATAAATTTTGTATTCACCTTCTGATGGCTTGAGCGACTGGTTCAGAATCGCTGAGTTCTAGGTCACTGTCCACGTGCATCCGCTCGCCCCAGGTGGCTTTCAGATAAGACACTCGTCTCGTCGCACGATCCTCATCGCCTGATGCCGCAGAGAGACGAAAAATAAAAATCGATTTAAAAATATTGCATCGAGCATCGAAAATTATGATACCAGGCTATTACGCCTTGATTGATGCCTCTGGGGCTGTAGGAAGTGAAGTACTCACTGATTTGAGTGTTTTTCTGTCGCCTCAGCACCACCCCATTCGCTGCATTAGAGCCTGGAGCTGTGAACATTAAATAATAAATAACTCGATGTTGCACAGACGACGATTGATACTTCGATGGTGAATTAAATTAATAGGTAACACCATGCCGTTCACCAATAAGTGCCAACACCTCTATTATTACAGCATCAAGAGCTTGATTATAAATGCTAAGTCTATGTGGCATTCCACAGCCCTCGGGTACGTAATCAAATGCATAACAACACAGTTAGTTTCATCGCCTCATTGGGGGGGAATTGATGTGTTTAATTTTACACAGACGTTTATACAGTCTCTATTTTTTTTGTTCATTAAGATTTTCAAGAAAATTATGTCACAACCACATTTTAAGCGGAGAAAAGCATTAATTATTGGGAAAAAAAGGCTCTTTGCAAAATAATTAATGAAAATAATAATTCATTGTTAAATTTAAATTATGTTCTGGCCTTCGTTGACGTTTGGGGGATGGAAATTAATTAATTTAATGTTCCGATGGATTATTTAGGTTTAATCAATGGTATTAAGTATGCCCAAGCATCTCACGAACGTCTCGTAATCTCAGGAATTCAATTCGAGAGAATTAATTTGTCTTTCTTAAAAAAAATTCGAATGTTCAAACAATCGACAGGATTATTACGGTTGATTAATTGATTCTTTATTAATTTTTTCGTAAACTTTCTCTCGACGTTTTTAACATCTTTATTTTTCTTTCTTCATCAAGATTTTTTTCAATATGAACGCTTCGTAAAATAGTCTCGATATCATAATTTAATTAATATGTTTCTTGGCGACTCGGGGATAAAGAAATTTGCAGATTGAATTTTCTCCCGCCGCATTTAGCTTTAATTAATGTTGTTAAGTATGCTCAAACATCCAAGGTAATGAAAGGTCTCTTAATCTCACGGATTCACATCACAGAATGAATTTCATTCAGTAAAAAAAATCGCCTGAATGTTTCGACAATCACAGGGATTATGACGGTTAATTAATTAGTCAGCTTAGTCTGTTTAGTCTCTTTCTCCTCAATTTTTTAATTCTGACCTAGAAGCCCATTTGTTTCCACGCTGTTGTTGGTATCTCCCGACGACTCTAAAGGGCGCAGTGGATTTGGAATGGAAAGCTGATTGGGTCGTACTGGCTGGGGTGGACTTATAGTAACACTTGGTAGAGTCACTTGACCGTCACTCGTCACAGTATCCAGTATCGTGGTTGGAAATAGTGGAGCACTTGGCATGTCACTTATCTGCCTCTCATCCTCTCGCCCCTTGTGCTGTGGCTCTCTCTCTAATATGTTTTTTTTTTATGTTTCGTTTTCACGAAATAATTTTTCGGTGAGTATTCTCGTAAACCATGCAATAAACTCGTGATTTAAAGCGTAGAGAGATGCAGGAATGCCTCGAGAATTCAGTTAAAACGCATTAAGAGAAGAGGAGAATGTGAGATACCAGGAGAGTCCCGAGGAAAAAATTGTTTACGATATTTTTCATGTCTCGTTAATACGTGAAGTTTATACACATTATTTTGTTAATATCTCGGAAACTGGAGGAAAGTGTTAGAAATCTTTTGATATTCTTTACTCGTAGTCACTTTTTAACGAGATAATTCAGGAGTTAATGCCAGTCATGAATTTATAATATTAAAAATTGGATTGAAATGTGACAAGATATTTTTTTAGCTTATAGATTTAAAACACCCTGACATTTTTCTTTAAATCTCTTCCTTTGAAACATCTTTGCAAAATAAAATGTTAAATCTCAGCAATTATGGAATTTTTGGTACTTTTAATAATTTTAAATATTATTTTTTCTATAAAATTCATTAGAAAAAATTTTTTTTTCACGATAGTCTTCATGTCTCGTTAATCAATGAATTCCATACCCATTATTTTGAAAATATTTGGAAAACTGGAGGAATATATCAAAGGTCTTTTGATATTTTTTTTTCAGAGACAATTATGAACGAGATAATGTAATCCAGGAATTCGCAATACTAAAAACTTTATTATTGATAATTTTGAAAATATCTCTGCGAACGTGAGGTTTAGAGAAATGTTACAATAGACGTTTTTTTATAGCCCATAAAATTTTCTAAAGAAAAACTCATGACATTGTTCTTCAATTCTCTTCTTTCCAGAAACACTTGCAAAATAAAACGCTAAACTCTAGCCATAGTGCATGAATTCCACGAAAAAAATAATGAATAAAAGTATTTCTCGTGTTTCTCGTGTTCTTGACACTTTTATCTATTATTTTTTCCATGAAATTCGTCACATAAAAAAATCCTTCAACATCTTTTATAAATATTTGCAATTAAAAGCCTCAAATGCAAAGTATTCTTCAATTTCATAAAAAAAAGTATCAAAAGAACTTCAAACCCCAGGAAAATAATTATACGATACGTCATAAGAATTTTATTCCCCTTATAAAACCATTTTCGCTACCTCTCTCCTTCTATTTTCCTTCCGTTAAAACTCGTTCGGTATCAAAGAAGTGTAAAGAAATCAAATGTAAAAAAGAACTCAAAAAAATAAAATAAAATAAAATAAATCGGATAAGAAAATTCTTGGTAAACTAACCGAGCTGACTTCTAACAGCCTGAAGATAGCTGTCCTGTCGCTTTGCTTTGCTGTTTCGTCCCTCAGTCTCCAGTTCCTCTGGCTCATTCTGCCAGGTATGCCTGACGCCTCGTCGGGTCGTTCCACCGTTCACAGCCTCCCAGGATTCAGCACTATTGCTTCTCGCCCGCAGTCTAACCGGTTCCATCTCCACAGCTTGTTCATCTGACGACAGATATATGTATTAAGGATTGTAACAAAAATTTATGAATTTAATTGAAAAACATCTCCATTCCTCGATTAAATTCGTTACAGTCCGGCCATCAATCATATTTAAACATTTGTTATTTGTTAAATGAGCACAGTCATCGCAGGTGAGTCGACATTGGCAATAGGAGATGTTGATTTTTCACTCGAACATTCGAGTTTTTTGATTGTTTTTATTCAAATCATAAAATCTACGTGTGGCAACACTGGCAAAAGCATTGGGTGTAGGATTTTTCCCTATTTTTTTGAGAATAAGAGGTGAGATTGTTAAAAAATATTGGACATTTGAATTTTTTTAATAAAGACTTTAGTTTATGGAAGTTTTCTCCTACATCCAATGAGAAATAAAGTGGCAGGTGTTATGGAAATAATAAAAAGCTGAATAATTCAGAGGCACTCTAAATCTTGCTGATGACATTGCGAGACACACGATTTTACACTTCTAGGATAAACTACCTGGAAATTGTGAATAGGAGGTTGGAGGCTCGCAATGGATGTATTTGCTGCCTACGGGAATTATTCGATTCCCCGATAATCCTCTGCCTAGTTATTTTTTTTTGTACATCGCATGGAAGAAAAATTGTATTATGATTTGTGACAGTGGGAGGATGTAATCGTGATAAATGACTAGGAATTTTCGAATGGACTTTGGAGTGAAAATCGGTGAGGATTCAGTAGTAGAAGTACATAAATCAATTTCACATAGGATTGCGTCCTTCGTAAATATCTCGAAATTCAAGATGAGGGAGAAATTTTCATTCAGATCTTTGCGTAATTCACACTAATTTAGTTATATTTCTTCAATTTCAAGATATTTAAGGAAACTTTATTTGATTTGAACATCTCATTTCATGACTTCTTTATGGAATTTAATAATTATCTTGAGAATTTGTGAATTTACAATCAACTGGGAATTCAAGAATGTATTTACCTGAATTTTCATAATTTCTATCAATTTTCATGGAATAATTTACCTAAAATTTACAGTTCCCGTTGATTTATCCATAAAATTTTGAATTTTCAATGACGAAATCCTTTGAAATTTCACTGGAACTCTAACGTAACAGAAATTTCCAATTCTTGAAATTTTAAAACGGTTAAAAATTGACTTTAATTTAGTTTAATTCAACTGTTACAAATTTCCATCACTTTAACCAGTATAAAATCACCCACTCCCAAGACAATTACGCTTCAAAAACACTTCCAATTTTCCAACCAATCCTTGGCTTTTAAATTAAAAAAAAAAGTTCTTCTCCAACAAAAGAAAAATAAACCAGCAAAAATGCTCACCTGAATCCAGTGACTTGCTCTCCCGATTGGTACTCCCCCTCCTAGTCTCAACACTCTCAGCCTTGGACTCAAACTCCCTCTTCCTAACCGCGACATTGGGCACACTCCTCTTGTTAGACAGCCTCGACAATTCACTTTTATAAAGATTAGTGCGATCACTAGTAGGTTCATCATCATCACTGAGCAGCCTCCCCGACTCGAACTGTTTCGCCCTCCTGGAGACAATCTGCAGCCCCTGAGGAACCGGAAACTTCTCCTGCTTCTTATCAGGCCCAGGAGAAGAGGGCAACGACGACGTGCCATTCCTCACGTCCACTCCCACCTGTTGCCCCGAGACATTCTCATGTATCCTCGAGAGAGTCGTCACAAAGCTCTTGGCATTCTTATCAGTCCCCTTGCCAAAAGAGAAATGATTCTCCTTAACGAATTGTCCATTGGCATCGCAGAGAGACGAGTAGAACCTGTCCCTGATGGCTTGAGCATCCTCAGTCACCTGATTATTCTCCCTCTCCCTCTCGTTCTCCTCGTCAATGTCCCCCCTGACCCTTTGGACATTCTGATTCCCAGGTTTTCCATTTTTCACAGCCCCCTTGTTGGCATTCTGATCGCCCTGCTCACTGGGAGGCCACACCTGCCTCTGGAGCTTCTGCGGTCTCGCATAGAACTCCCTCTGGATGACCCCCTGATTCTGATTCTGATTCTGATTCAACCTCGAGGCTTCGTCAGGCAGCAGCCAGCCAATGGGATGACTGGGCCTCCTCAGGAACTCCTCCTTCTGCTCGAAGCTCTTCCTCAGTCTCGTCATGATGACAGAATCGTCCGAGCACTCATTACCAGTCAATGTTGAGTTCGAATCGTACGAGGAGAGGCTGCTGTCCTTGCTGGCAGGTGACGAGTCCCTCCTGGAGTCGATGGACAGTCGAGAGGATTCATTGGAAATCTCGTGATCATTCGGGGGCCCACTTCCCTCGCTTGCTCTCCTCGTTACGACTCTCCTGCCAGGTCGGTAAATAGGGACTTGTGGCTCCGCTCTGGAGACTGGGTACTGGTGGTCCAGGGACTTGCTGAAGGTGCCAGTCAAGTCTGGACGCACCCTCTCGTAGATGGGGTCCTTGATTCTGTCGTAGATCTGCTCGCTGCTGGGACGAGAGTAGATTGACTCGGGGCGGGTTCGATCGTACAGGTCGTAACGACCCTCGGGGGATCGATAGGCGTCGTCCTGCTGGAGGGACCGGCGTTGGGATCTGTCGTCGGGGCGGAAGTCCTGGTTTCGCGCCTCTGTCAGGGGGCGACGCTGCACGTTCGGGGCGGATGCCATCTTGACAGCTGTCTGGTCTTTGAAGGCTTCCTGGGGACGGTAAGCACCTGTTCCTTGGTTCTCTGAACCTGGGGGCGAGCACACCCAGGACTGGCGGGAGCGCGGCGAGGGACCCGGAATCATGCTCATCGATCTTCGTTGCTTTTGGGAGACTCGCTCCGGGGAACGGAGACGCGCTGGACGCTGATTTGTCTCCGGGTTGTGGGCGGTTTCACCGAAGTACTGGAAATGCGAGGGGAGGGGTTATTGGGGAGATTGGTTGGGGGTGCGGGGCTAGGGTGATTGACGAGAAATGTTTTGTGGGGGGGGGGGGTTATT